CCCCCCCACCTCTTTGGGCCGTTGATATGTCTTTTAAGACTTAGGCGCTCCTGTATCAACGCGTCGAAGGCAGCAAACGCGCTGCTTTGCGTTGTACCCATGAGAAAAATCTCGAAACAGATACTATACAATCAGGAGTATCGCCGGTCAATTGAGCAGATGTATATAGCGCTACCAGTCTTCTAAAGATCTGATCTTCACACGCATCCCTTTTCGACGACAAAAAGATGAAAATAATCTCAGCGAATTGAACGAACAGTACGAGAACCCTAACTTTGATAAGACGATTCTTCATCAAATAGGAAACATTAGTTGGATCAACTACAAAACATGACTCACCTCCTTGCTTCGGGATCGCTCATAGTATTATAATCATCTGCTACATGGTATTCATATACATGGCCATTGAGAAGGCCGACAAGAAGCCTAGATAAGATACTGAAGTCATATCCAAGCAAAATTCGTATGACCTTGCACGGAAAACTCACCTAGAAGTTTCTTCACTGTAATAAAGGCAAGTAGGAGCGACAGGCATGATTTTATGGATGGAAGGCCAAAACTGTCCATTGTCTCTTTTCAGATAGAGCCTGACAGATCGGTCATCGCTGCAAGTCCACACGCCCTCCTCTTTTGACAGTAAATATACGTCGTTTACCCGAGCAACATGACCTTCGATTTTGTGAAGTAAAGCTGGAACGGGATTTTTCGTGGAATCTAAAAGAATTTGTTGTCGTCATTGCGATTGAAATACTATGTGGCAGCTTTTCTACACTGATTTTCAGGTATTGAGAAATCAAAAAATTTCAGACTTTCAACCTTCGCGACACAAAAATCAATTATATAATACTTGAGAAGGAGATGGAAACTCCTGGATACTAACATACATTACAAGTATTCCTTTTATGAATTCAGTTGTCTTTAGCAATGCAAATAAAGGAACGACATACCTGGTCTCGCTTCCTCTCCGATACTGTTACCAGCAGCGGAGGAAGTTGGTCGAGAGTTAATCACCGCAGACATCACTGAAAGCAACGTTGAGAGACCTCAAAGGCAGAAGATTACTGGAGTCAGATATACATTTAAGAATGGTTATTCTACTTATCAGAAAAATTTAGTATATATAATAGGTTTCGACGTTTCGGCAATGGTCACTACTATCGAAGAACTTGTCAGCAATGACTCGAGAATCAGTGAATAAAGCTGCGTCTTTTTTAGAAGCTCCCAATTGTGATCCATTTTATATAACAGAACGGATACGACACCAACATTTTGTTGAGTGAACATATTAAAAGAAAGTTCTACAACCGCTCATATTTCAAACAAAAAACGCAGAGCGAAAACGGAAGAAACCCAAAAAGTTGAATGAAAACGCATGAAAAACAAATGACAATATGCGTGATGACAAAACTAAAAAAACCACACCTGTCAGCAGTAAGGCAGCAAATGCTGCAACAATGTGGCGGTTGAGTACGTCCTGTAAAAACCCAAATAGAGATGTGATCACTGTGGTATACTATCCTGCACAAAAACACGGTAAAGGGAAGCAGGAAAACTGGAAACACTTAATTGGAGAACAAATCAAATCCATAAAAGTCTATTGTATTGCAAACTGCACCAGCCCATCACACTACATGCCTGACTGCGACGCTGCTGCGCGCGAACAGCGGAATATATTGCAATCGTGAATTTGAGCACATTCTGCCATGCAACTTAGGAAGATCGTAAACAAACTAGAAACGCTGTGAGGCGTATCTAAAAATTCACCAAAACTTTGCAAAACAATCTTTTGACAAGCTGCAGCGAACATCATATTAAACCTTTCTGGGCCTGTAGTAGGATTACGATAGATCCAATCTACTTGGTGATAATTCCATAGTAGAGCGCTATCTAGATTGGATACATTGAATTACACAGCATCCTTACTAACCGTCGTGTAAACCTCAGCGAGTTCGATATTTTGATCTCACAATTCACTAAGAAATGGTCATTATTTACGTGACCAGTACCTATAACCCGCGTGGAATGTTAAATATTA